AAAATTACCCGGTGTGACTTGACGCCGGCGATGGTTTTGAATTCGGGGTCCCCAGAAGCTCCTCATCATTATATCGATCTTTTTTTTTTTTCCGTTTATCTTCTTATATTGGCTTTTCCTAGGATGGGACCCGCTCCCCTACATTTACGATTATATTGGTTGGATGATTGTAGACCGTCTGATTAGACCGCGGAAAAATCGAGCGGTGGGAAGACCGAAAGTGATATTTTTATTAGGTGTGAAATGTGGCGTACAGTTACAGCTAGAGACCCAATACGTGCCTGCCATTTCAGATTGGTCACGTGAGTGAAAGTGGTACGTGTCATATTCGCTCACGCGGCTATCGTGACGTGTCCCTCGCCTATTGGGTGCGTAATTGTGACCGTGGCACTGCCTTCGCAATATTCCACCTTAGGTCCCTTCACCATTCTGATTTTGCCAGCTGTCGTATCGGAGCGCTCCCAACACTCCGGCCATCATGCCGGAGCGTCGGTTGTATGTGAATGATGTCGTATATGGGTCCCAATGGGAGATTTCTTGAGTTAGTGTCTATCCATTATTAATTAGGTAGCATTATTTTAAAGCTTTTTCTTTGTTTGTGTGGTTTCTTGCGTGCAAAAGCTTCAAATGGTTGTTGGGTTATATTAATTAAACTTATGTTGGGGTGATGACATTTTTTTGCAGGGTGCTGTTGCTGCAAGTGAAATCACCAGCACAACTGCCAAGAGGTCACGAAGAAAGAAGGTAGGTTCTACACTTCTCTAGGGATGAAAAGTTCTATAGTGGTCAAATGTGGAATAATTCCTCATGCATATGTTTTTGACTTGGTGGCTTCAAGGGTCATTTTTTTCTGTGTATCTGAGAAAATGGGATGGTGATGGTTTGGTGTTTTGAGATTGGTTTTTAGGGTACCGATCTTCACCGGGGGGGGCTCTTTATTTGTTTTAATCTGGAAAAGTTTTGTGTTGTCTCTTTACAGACGTTTGCTGAACTTAAAGAGGAGGAGTGTTTGCTTTTGAAGGAAAGAATTACTTTGAAAAAGGTGGGTTCTTGTTATGCTTCTTTCTGAAGTTTTGTTCTTGCTTTTCTTCTGCGAATCATCTTTTATTGATATATTCTGTTTATTTGATCAGGAGATAGCAACAATGCGTGCTACCTTTAAAGAACACAGAGCCACAAATGAGAAGTTAAAAAGGATCAAGGTAAGCTGAGTTGTTGGTCAAAAATGCAAAGTTGAGTAAAAGAATATCCGGGAAAAAAGCAATCATTATATTACAACTGTCAGTTTTTGATTAAGTAGCTGTTGTTCTGTTCTTCCGAACTAATTTTACCTTTATTGCAGCTTGATTTGAACTTGCACACTGCTAATGAACGTGACGACGCAACTTCTAGCCAGCATCACCAGAGAGTTGCCTCTTCTTGTCCACTTGATGATAAGTCAGGTTCTGATTCTTGCAAGGATGACAAGGCTGTTTCTAATGAGGGTAGTTGTTCTTTTGTATTGCCTGATCTAAACATGATGCCTTGCGAGGATGATTCTGGCGCCGAGACCTTGTATGGGACAAGTTGACTGACTGGGATCCTTGGTTTGATTGGTTATGTTCTCACGGCCAGACTGCCTTAATTACTTACTGGAGCAAAATGTCCCATTTTAAGGAGCCATTAGCCTGGTACAATAACTGAAATGACAGATTAACTGACCACATTTACAAACTCAAAGAGGGGCAGATATAGTTAACAGCCAATGGAGAAGAAGGCATTAAGGGTAGTGTAGAAATCCTAGCCGGTAGATTGTAGAGGATCTGGTCATCCCACCTGTGAAATTCTCTTGGGTAAACCCTCATTACTTCTTGTTTCGTAACTTTTATGTAAAAATGATTTTGATTCTTTGTAGTTATAAATAGCTGTGGACTCTGTTAAGGCTTCTTGAAACAAATTTCACAATTTTGTTGTTACCGTATGGGCACATCCTTTTTCCTCTACTAGTGGTTAGGAACTTTCAGAAAGCAATTTCTGGGCTGAACTTTGGATATTTTCATTATAATCTCTCTTCCTATTAAAAATTAAATGTTTCTCCTCAACTTCTAGTGCCTTTTGGGAACTTAACGTCTGAATGGTTGAATAACCCATCGACTTTGTTTATGTTTATACTGTCAATGCTTTCTTTAATAGAGGTTGTGATTTTTGAGTTTTTCTAATATCTGCCTCAATGGCACATAATCTAATAAAAAATATATATTTTTAATAAATTTATAATAAAATATAAAAATTAAATTTTAATTTATTAATAATTTTATTAAATTTATTGATGTAAGTTTGTAACATTTACATTAAAAACACAAATTAAAAAAACTCTTAAAAAAGAATATATCACTATGAGATTGTCAGAAAAGAACATAAATATGAGAACGTGAAGTTGCAGGGTCCACACGCGAATGAATGCATATCCAGATCGACAGGATTGTAGATTCTTCCATTAAATAACTGGAGATAATATTTACCCCTACCATGATTGTTTAGGGGAATTTCTTTGAGTCGAGAAATAGAAAAAAACAATCAATTGGTACTGGCAGAGAGATATAACTATTTGTAAGACATGATATCATGATCTCGCACTGTGCGCCGAAACAAGCAATCGATTCCACTTTGAATTACAGTATCTTGTTTCTTCAATTCAAAGATTTTGTTATTTCATTCAGGCATTCATTGGCACCAAATAGGAAAGAAATGCAGGAAATTATGTGACTGTAGATTATAGACCAATGGAGAAGGGTAAGTAAACCATCCTATCATATCCATATGGGGTTGGATTTCTGCTACCATATGGGGATAGGAGAGGTAAGTAAAAACCATCGTACAATATGGTGTTGGATCTCTCCCTACCATCTTTGATAACTGTAGGAAGAGAAGATAATCAACCATGTGATCCTATGTTTTTAACTGAGAAAATCTGCAAATGGCTTTTTTAATAATAATAATAATTTTTTAAATGGGAAACAAATACAAAATTGATATAGTTAAATAAAAAAAAATGTAAAGTTTGTATTTTTATTAACATATTTTTTTCATTTTTAATTACATATCTAAAATTTGATTTGTGATATTTACAAATAAAGGAAAGTGTATATCAATTTTTGATTATTCAAATAAATTGAAATTTCAATATTAAATTATGTCATTTTACTTAATTAAAATTTAATTTAAAATTAAAAAATTTATTTTTATTAAATATTAATATTTAAATTTAAAAACTAATTATATTATAATATATAATTGATTTTCAAATTTAGTTATTAATATTTAATAAGATAAGTTTTTAAATTTTAAATTTAAATTTTTGTATCAAAATATAAATTTAAACTTTAATTTCTTAAAAAATCAAAACTAATATATACTAATATCTAAAAATAATAAACCTCCTTTTAGGCCTAGCCTTTTGCAGGTGAAAGTGGAATAGCTTTGCGTGGCCCAATTCAGGCCTAGCAGGCAGTTGGACGAGCCCGCCATGTTCGGGCCAGTAAGGCTGCCCACAACCGTCCCCCCCCCCACTAACTGTCCTAAGCCCGGCCCGCCCACCGGACCGTCGGTCCACTCCTCTTCTCAAACATACTCACTCTCGTCTTCTTCCTTCATCGGACCGGAACAAATGTTCCCGATCTGATACTCACCTTTGCAGCTCCATTCTGTACACCTCCTCTCTCTTCCGGCGATTCCGTCATGGAACCTGATGTTAGCATTGAGACCTCCTCCATGATCAGGATCGCCGTCTTCCCAATCGGTCCGGTTCCACCGGTACTCCTCCGAGACTACTACTCCATGCTACTGCGGCACCAGACGATCCCTCTGTCAACAATCAGCTCCTTCTACACGGAGCACCAGAAATCTCCCTTCACCAACCAACCCTGGGAGACGGGCTCGCTCAGATTCAAGTTCATGCTTGGAGGGGCTCCGCCAAGCCCCTGGGAGGATTTCCAGTCCAATCGGAAGATCCTGGCCGTTATCGGCATTTGCCACTGCCCTTCCTTGCCCGATCTCGAATCCGTTGTAGATCAATTCACTGCTACCTGCAAAAGTTACAGCTCTGCTCTCGTGCAGCGCTGCTTCGCGTTTTTTCCCGGTGATTCTCATGTGAGTTTCCAAGATTAGGTTGTGTTTATGATAAAATTATTGAAATTAAACTGTTATGTGCATTTCGAATTTTGGTTTCGCCTTTTCCATGCTTAATTTAGACTTCAGAATAAGGTTTAGCATTTCTATTGTTGGCAACTTGGCAGGGGTGATTTATGCTGGCTCATAGACTAAGCTTAAGAGTTTGATTCAGGCTTGAAATGGAAACATGAACTTTGATTTACCATTTTATGTGTTGAGTCTTTATTATATAGACATATTATTGCTAATCTATAAAGGAAAGACATGTTGATGCTTCTTAATTTATTGTTTTCAGAACTGGTTAGATATATTTTTCAAATTATATGGTCTAAATACTTGGTTTTCTGTTGCAGCTTCAGAATGGTGAAAAAAAAGGAGACAATATAATTTTATTTCCTCCTGCTGACCGTCAGACACAGGAGTTTCACTTGCAGACCATGATGCAAGACATTGCTGCTTCATTGTTGATGGAATTTGAGAAGTGGGTTCTCCAGGCAGAATCTGCTGGAACTATTTTGAAGACACCCTTAGATTCTCAAGCCAGTCTCAGCTCAGAGGAGGTTTATGTCTAGGTGTCCTAAGAATTTAATTTGTGTTTATTAGTATTAAAGCATTTTTGTAATTTTGGAGTGAGATGCTGTGCTTTGAGCCTTGGTGCTTAAGGTTTCCATTTTTATTTGTAACAAATATGCAGGTGATGAAGGCTAAAAAACGTAGACTTGCTCGTGCCCAGAAGACCATAGGGGATTACTGCTTGTTGGCAGGATCACCTGTTGATGCCAATGCCCATTATTCCACAGCACTAGATCTGGCAAGGTTAACTGCAGATCACTTCTGGTTTGCTGGTGCATTGGAGGGTAGTGTTTGTGCATTACTGGTATTCTTGCCCTCTGAACCGAACTCATAAACTGTTGCTGATGCATGGTTCTTTTAGCATGTTTGAGATATTAGACATTTGTTCTTTTATGTATTTCCTTGCCTTTCTGTTGCCTGTTTGGATGCTTAGAAATTAGAAGGAACTTCTATTGTTCATCACATGAGCCAAAATGAAATAATTAAAAATTTCTCTCCGGTGCTCAATTCATCATTATTGCTTTCCCTAACAACTAGATTAACAGTGTGCCCCGCAACCCATTTTGCTCACTAGAACCATTAAGAAAGTATGTCTTCCACTTATTGAAATTTCACACAGTGGCATGTATGTTGGCTTCTACAAATTTTTATTTCAAAACTTTGCTGCATGTTGTGTCTAGTGGCCAATGTTGTTCCTTTTTTCCCTTTTAATGTCATCAGATAGACCATATTGGCCAGAGAGATGCAGTTTTGGAGGAGGAGGTCAGGCAGCGGTACAACAATGTCATCTTGAATGGGCATTATAGAAAATCTTCCATGCAAGACAACACCCAGAGGTAATTTATCTTATTGTATTTCTTCTTTATAAATGCATCAGTTTCAGGGAGTGAATTTTCTTTGAATTTGGCATAGACATTAGGAAGGCTTGTAGTCTCCACTTTGTCTCCATTTTCCACATTTATGTTTGCATTTGTAGCCTGTTGTGATTCTGAATTAAATTTGAGTTGATGTCTTTTTAGTTAAGGATGAAATTTAAACAGTGACGTTCTACATTTTCTGACTGATCGTTGTTTGTATCCCTTTATTGTGTCTATGGTTTTCTGTAATAGATGCCTTGTTTTTCTCCTTGTAGTGCGTGGCTCTTTTCTGCCCTTGTAAGCTTGTGAAATATAGTAGAATGCATTTGATTAAACCTTTTTCTTTTCCTCTTTCCTTTTTGTCTCAAGCTTTGAGAACTAATTATTTTCATATTTGAAAACAGAGTTTCACCCCTGAGCTTTGAACTTGAAGCTATTTTGAAATTGGCCAGATTTCTTTGCAGGTATGTTCTTTGTTATTGTTGACTTGTTACTGTATCATGGTTCTTTTGAGATTGATTTTGGAGCGAAGTTATTTGAGAAAGATTTGAATTCTATCTTGCAAATATTAGAATTTGGATTAATCATTTTCCTTATATTCTGTTTTGGCTGCTCTTTTCTATTTTTGAATATCTCAATTTTAGCAAGTGTCATTCCATGCATTTCTTCATAAAACAGTTTTTTGGTAATTTTCCTGGTTTTCATAGGAGAGAGCTGGCTAAGGAGGTGGCGGACTTGTTGACCAGAGCTGCCGATGGTGCAAAATCATTGATTGATGCCAGTGACAGACTCATAATATATGTAGAAATAGCTCGTTTATATGGCACTCTTGGTTATCAAAGAAAAGCTGCATTCTTCTCAAGGCAGGTGGCTCTGTTGTATATGCAACAGGAAAACCAGTTAGCTGCTACTAGTGCCATGCAAGTTTTGTCAATGACAACCAAAGCTTATCGTGTTCAGACTAGAGCATCCATCTTAAGACAATCTCAATCTAGTGTAAGTAAATGGACATGTGAATGAAACTAGAAGAATAGGTCAATTCATAATTATATGTTTCTAGTCAACTTTGATAATATTATAGGCTGGCTTTGGATTTTCTTTTGTTAACATTACATCTTTGTTTATTTTAACCTGTTTATTTTTATTGTCCTTCCTTTTTCTGTTTTCCGTCCTCATTAGCCATCATCCATGTAAATTTTGAATTTGATTTTGACAATTTCTTCCTGGCCAAAAAAGTTCTTGCATTCTCCATTTTTTATGTGTTTATATGCCTCCTGTAAAAGTTTCATTTGCTTTTTTTCTTTCTTTATATAGGAAACTGGACCAGGACATGCTGATAGTGGGAAGTTCCATCACCACTCAGTAGTCTCACTATTTGAGTCTCAATGGAGCACCTTACAGATGGTTGTACTGAGGGAGATTTTATTATCTGCTGTTCGCGCTGGAGATCCTCTTGCAGCTTGGAGTGCTGCAGCAAGGCTCTTAAGATCTTATTACCCTCTAATTACACCTGCTGGTCAAAATGGCCTCGCTAGTGCACTCGCAAATTCAGCAGAGAGGTTGCCTTTTGGAACTCGCTGTGCTGATCCTGCTTTACCTTTTGTAAGGTAAGTTTTGGATCCTCATTAATGCTTTCTGCCCAGAATTGTGTGAAAAGAGGGGGATAATTAGATATTATCTCCTGTATTACTACTTTAGATGTAAATTTTTATATATTAACAAAAGGCTTGAACTATATATCCTGAGCTGCTGAAGAAATATTACCTCCGTCCTTCCCAGTTTCATATTTGTCTCTTCTTTGCATATATTTTTTCCATCTACTCCTTGAAGCTTGTTCGGTGAGGTTCCTCTATTTGCTTCTTAATGCCATTCAGGAAGAAACTTCAGCTTTATTTTTCTTTCCATGACCTTTTTTAAAGGTTATGCATTCTGAACTTTCCAGGTTACACTCATTTCCTCTCCATTCGTCACATATGGACATTGTAAAACGCAATCCAGCAAGAGAAGATTGGTGGACAGGATCTGCTCCTTCAGGACCATTTATCTATACCCCATTCAGCAAAGGAGAGCCAAATGATAACAGCAAGCAGGAGCTGATTTGGATAGTTGGTGAACCAGTCCAGCTCTTGGTGGAGTTGGCTAACCCATGTGCATTTGATTTAAGGGTTGATAGTATCTATCTTTCAGTGCATTCAGGAAATTTTGATGCTTTTCCCATTAGTGTAGATCTGCCACCTAACTCGTCACAGGTTATCACCTTATCAGGGATCCCAACTTCAGCTGGTCCAGTAATAATTCCAGGATGCATTGTCCATTGTTTTGGTGTAATTACTGAACACGTTTTTAGAGATGTTGAAAATCTGCTGCTTGGAGCAGCACAAGGACTTGTGCTTTCAGACCCTTTCAGAAGTTGTGGGTCCCCAAGGTTGAGAAATATATCTGTTCCAAATATTTCTGTGGTTCCTCCATTGCCACTGTTAGTGTCACATGTTGTAGGCGGTGATGGTTCAATCATTCTATATGAAGGTGAAATTCGTGATGTATGGATAAATCTGTCTAATGCTGGTACAGTTCCAGTTGAGCAGGCATATATTTCACTGTCTGGAAAAAATCAAGATTCTGTTATGTCAGTTGCATATGACACGTTAAAATCTGCCCTTCCTTTGAAGCCTGGTGCTGAAGTGACCATACCTGTGACCTTGAAAGCCTGGCACCTTGGGTTGGTGGACCCTGATGCTGGTGGTGGCAAGAGTGCCTCCAGCAGCATGGGCAGAAATTTAAAGGATGGAAGCAGTCCTTCGCTGTTAATCCATTATGCAGGTATCTTTCTAAAATAAATTGATTGCCCCCAAGTATTTCTAGCATTCTGGAGAGTTGCTTGATCAACCAATTTATTTTCCTTAAATTTGTTTGTTGTTTTTCAGGGCCACTAACAATTTCTGGAGATCTGGAAACAGATGAATCTGCTGTGCCGCCGGGCAGGCGCCTTGTTCTTCCATTACAAATTAGTGTTTTGCAAGGTCTCTCTTTTGTGAAAGCTCGTTTGCTTTCTATGGAGATTCCAGCACACATAGGGGAGAACCTTCCCAAACCAGCTAGTGGGGTGGGTACAGCAATAAATGAAGATGTCAGCTGTGGAAGTAAGATAGATAAATTGATGAAGATTGATCCTTATCGAGGAAGCTGGGGATTACGTCTTCTTGAACTCGAGTTGTTCAATCCAACAAATGTTGTGTTTGAAATTAGTGTCTCTGTCCTGCTGGAAAATTCTAGCAATGAGGATAATTTTTCTGTTGATCAAGTTGCCCCTGAGTATGCTTATCCTAAAACAAGAATTGACAGGGACTACTCTGCAAGGGTATTGATACCACTAGAGCATTTTAAGTTGCCTGTTCTTGATGGTTCCTTTTTTTCAAAGGATTTGCAGTCTGATGGGTCTGCTGGTGCCAAAAATTCCATCATCTCAGAAAAGAACACAAAGGCTGAACTTAATGCCTCTATTAAGAATCTGATTTCCAGAATTAAGGTCAGGTGGCAGTCAGGACAGAACAGCTCTGGAGAATTGAATATCAAGGATGCTACACAAGCAGCCCTTCAGACATCGGTTATGGATATACTGCTTCCAGATCCTCTGACGTTTGGCTTTAGGCTTGCTAGAAGTGGTTGTGAAAAAACTGCAAAACCTGATTTACCAAAAGAATCAACTACACAAGTTCATCACTCTTCACCAAAAAGTTCTGTGGTTGCACATGACATGACCCCAATGGAAGTTCTGGTTCGCAATAACACAAAAGAAAAGATTAAGATGAGTCTTAATATTACATGCAGAGATGTAGCTGGAGAAAATTGTCTCGAGGGTGATAAAGCCACTGTCTTATGGGCTGGTATGTCTATATGCTTATAAAATATGATTTTGCAGTTCTATTGTGTGTCCCAGTTTAACAGGTCCTTTAATTCATTTATTTATTTGTATTTTCCTTTCCATCTGATGTCACGGCTTTCAAGTTAGTTTACAGAATAAAATCATAGCCAGCGCCTTTTTGCATATGCTAATGGGATCATGTCTGTTTTAATTTTTTAAATTCTAAAATTGTTTGTTGATTACTATGATAAGAAATTAGTAGTTGAATTCACACACTGACTAGAACACTGCTTTTATATTCTGCCAATATGAATTGTGAATATGCTAATGCATTTACGCGATATTTCTGTGATTTGTTACCAGGTGTCTTGAGTGGAATTACTATGGAGGTTCCTCCACTGCAAGAAATTAAACATTGTTTCTCTCTGTACTTCCTTATCCCCGGTGAGTACACGATGGTAGCTGCAGCTTTGATTGATGATGCTAACGACGTTCTGAGGGCCAGAGCAAGGACCGAATCGCCTGATGAGCCAATAATTTGCCGTGGCCCTCCTTTTCATGTTCGCGTGGTGGGTACAGCATGACAGTTCTTTGAGTCCATATTCAGAATGATTATTTCTTGCTTGTTACGTTCAGATTAAGACTCAGAAGAAGACAGAAACACCAAAATGCTTTGGCAGTACCATCCGTTACACGTATTCTGTGCTTTGTGTAAATCATAATTGAAGCCTACCATGAAAGTTACAACTTTTCTTTTTGATATTTCCCATTCTCCTTTTATGGTTACCTTTTATTTTCCGATTTTTAAAGGCACATATACATCCAATTTGAAGCTTTCATCATGTTTTTGTCTTTAAAATTGTTCTTTGGAAATATAATTAAGTACCAACAAAAGTCTTCTATATATATCTTGGCACACCATGATAATTTGGTATCTATCCCTTTCGAAATCAAAGACTCACTTGTTTTCATTTAATTGTGATAGCGAGAAGACAGGAGGATGTACGAACTTGTTTATCATTTTTTTTTTCTTTTTGCATAAACACTTCTTTTTCTTGAAAACTTTCTATCACTCTCGATATTTGAATTTAAAATTTTTAATATACAGATTCTTATAATGTATATAATATGTGAATGGCTTTTTGGATAAGCTGTTATGGGTCCATTATAAATGTCAACAACAACATAAGCGTATGATTTAAGTGGCCCGATAATAATTCCCCAAAGAAAAAGGTTAGAATCCGTTGAAATTTTTCCATGGGGGAGAAATCAAGCTTAATTTTACCTAAAACTTAAAATTCTGTCCCACATTGAACAGAAATCTTTAATTGAAGGATCTCCTCTTTTTTTTCTTCGTCGTTCACACTCACACAAAACTATTTGTTCTTTCTAAGAATGCCTAATGGAGGCAGCAGAGAAAATTAGCAATGGCAGTTAGCATTTGGGTCACAATCTGATATCCATATGGTGATGATGTAAGTAAGCATATGATGCCCCTGAAAGCGAAACACAGAAAGTGACTTCAAAAGTCTCTGAAAATCGTGTAAGAAAATGACTCAGAAAGCTATATACAAATAAAATTAATAATGCAATTGCGATGCCATAGGCAAATATTTTAGATATATATATGTGTGTACATATGTATATTTCAAATTTCATGGTTTGTTTTACTGAAAATGGTTTGTCCATGTGAGAACGATTTGAATTCATGTTTCCATTATCATCCATATTGATTGGTACCCATTGTATTTAAGTTTTTCAATTTCATCCATTTGGTCTCTATCATAATTCTTTAAGAAACTTCAATATTGGAATGATTAAAATGACAATGTTTTTTTCATGCCATTAGGCCAATTCCCATTCAACATCAAGATTTCTTCCTTGGCTCGCAAAATCTGTCTATCAAAGTTCCATAGGGGCCCAAGTTTGTCTTTAAAAAGAGAAACACCTGGGTAAATGAATCACCTCTTAATCAAATGGTCTTTTTAATTGGTGGTGATTTAATGGATTGTTGCTTGTTTGTTTATTTCTTAATAGTTAATGAGTTGCGTGCCGTACCAAATTAGATATACATAATTAAAGGTATCATGTTTTAACTGTTTTAAAAAAAAATTTAAATTATGTTTATAATTAAAAAAATTTAACTTTAAAATTTAATATTTCAATTACTAATAAAAATTATCTCCGTCAAAATATATATAAATTAAAATTCAATAGACTTTGAATAACAACATAAAATCATAATATTTAAGTCAAAATCCATGAAAAAAATTCAAACAAAATTCAAAAAAAAAACCTCTAATGTTTATGTAGCTATATCTTTGCATGTGGGTGCGTTCCATCAACATCAATCAACAAGAAGCTTTGTGAGATGAACAGCGTGTACACTGTGCAAGAAGAAGTGCTCCTGAGTTTTCCTACAGCAAGGCTAATGGCTTGACATCACAAGGAGAAAAGAAACCATTGGTCGGATCTTATGATGCCTTTTACTTTCCTCATCTATCATGTCACTTAAATTTAACCTGTGGGGGACAATTGATGCCCCTTTACCCATTTTGGTGGCTCTTCCTATCACCCATCCCTCCTCACAATTTTAGAAGTCTACTGCTGCAAGTAAGTAGATAAAAGATCATAGCTTGTTCACTTTTTCTTTCTATCCTTTCTAGTCTCTCTGTAGAACTAGAAACACAAATAATTTCACCCACCTGAAATTCACAAGTTTTGAGAGATTGGGATGATTATGAGAAAGACATGAAGACGAAAGTGGGTACGTGGTCCAAGAAGAGTGCCTTAAAGTGCTTTTGTGGTCCTTGAATAAAAAAAGGAAAGCCTAATTTTGAGGTTAATAATGAGGTGGGCAAGGCAACATGAGAAGTGGGTATGAATACCACAACCATTCACAATCATCCCAAGTTTAGGTACACTTCTTCTTCCCCCATCAAAAGTTTCAAAATCAACCATATATAAAGCCAAACTTATTTGATTAATGTTCATGCACTCTTCAATATACACCAAGAAAAGTTAAAACCACAAGAGATTGAGTTATTAAATTAAATTGTAAAATAAAAAATTTTAGATTAATAGGTATCAAATAGGTTAAGTTATAATTAGTACAAATTCATGCACTTTGCATCTTTCTAATCTTGTCAATTTCATCTTATTATTCTTATCAGCCTCCACATGTTTGATAAAATGCCAAAATGAAAAAAAAAAAGAAAAAAAAGGCATCTTTTAATTGTGTACACATTTACCCTAATGATAATATGATACACAGTTCAATTTAAAAGCCATATTCCCGGTTCTCCATAATTGTCCCAAAGCCTAATACCATATTTTTCGTCCCTTTACTTTGGACCTTGGCTGTTTTAGTGACAATTGCACCATAAACTTTCATCATTCATTGTGGATAAGGCGAATCCCATTGTTTTTGGTGGGGCAAAAGCAACCCCCATTGTTTTTTTCTCGTGCCTAACAAAATTTTGACAGTTCGATCCCCATCATAGCATTAGAGATTAAAGATAAGTCATACAATACTTTTTTAATTAAGATTTGATTTTTAAAAGAAAGTAGAGAGTTAATCTTTTTATGAATTTGTTAATATTAATTTGTATATCTATGGTTAAGTTTTTACAAACTTTTAAGTTTAATATATTTTTGTTATGATAATAAAGATTAGATCAATTAATAAATAAATATCATTTTGTAAATTAGATTTAATATTCAAATCTTAGGTTAACATTTAAAAAAAATAATTTTTTAAATACATTAAATTAATATGAGAAATGCATATAAAAAAAATTAAATTCTAAAGATATACAAAA